TTATAACCTACCCTGGTTCAGGTTATCAGTAAAATGTGTGGACCTCCTGGGCTCCCTTCTTTACATTTCCTTTAGAGCAAGATGCAAAGAAGCAGTTCCTGCTTCCTAACATAAAAGGCTGAGCAAGTTCCCATGACAAGTTTGAGAAAATACACCCTTCAATCCTATACGTGGTCAACTGTCACAAAAAGAAACTCATAGGAACATCCCACGGCACTGTGATGGTTACACGTTAGGTAGAAATCCCTCTGGAACTGGTTGGCTACAATCTCCTCTTCCTCACATCAGTCTGTCTCAGAAGCTACGTCAGCAGCCATTCCAATAGCCAAAACTCACAAAGCAAACTGAATATATTTGGTCTTCAAACTCTGAGCTTATGAATCAGAACTTCAGTTTAAATTAGAGGAAAATATTATCCAAATGCACCCCTGCCCCTGAAACTTGTTTTCACTAAGGAAGTCTTGAAAAGTCAGCTGTGCAGAAAGAAAAGCTTTACTCCCTTGCAACGCTCATCTCATCAAAGATGCTGGCCGAGTGCTGCCTGCATCACTTCAGGACAAAAAGAACCGTTTGTTAAAATTGTTTGGGGAACTTCTCATTAACTTTGCACCTGTTTTGATGGAAACAAATAAACAGAGCCTCTATAAATAAGAAGCTCTGCCAGCAGGTTTAAGAAGTGGTAAGCTCCATCAGTGGAGCAGTAATGAGCATTTGGTGTTGAAGAAGGATGGCAGTAGGTAGTAACATCTGCCACGGGCACAGCTGCTTGTGAAGTGCACATTTATCCACACCCAGAGGGAGCACAGCATCAGGTATGCACCTTCCTTGAGCTCAGAAACCACTTCCACAGCTTTGCTGCCCTACTCATACTCAGCATTGTGCTGTGAATCCTCATCCCCACTATTACTCTTCTAGCCAGAATAATCCATCAGCTTCACCATCCAGATCCAGAAATTTAGCAGGCGATGGCAGCTCAGGCTAATGAATCATTAATTCTAATTAAAGGATTTGCACTGTTTCCTTTCCATTAATTGTGTAAATAATAAAAAAAAATAGCCCTTTGCTGTACATCGGAATCTGCTTGTGGTATTAAAGGCAGCCTCTAAATGTTTTCCTCCAATGAAATGTGCATCACAACAGACCAAAAGGCACCAGGGTACTCACCTCCTGTTAAAAAACAGAGGTCTGCTTTATGTGCACTTTGAGTCCGACAGAGATAATTACACTGGCAGGGTGATTGCCCTTGTTAAATTGAACGGATGAGAAACACTAATGTTCAGGAAACAGGGGAGATGCATTGTTTCTATTTGCAGCCAGCCTTTCTTCATTTTGCTCATTTGGGCAATGCTGAGGCTCAGAACATGCTCTCCAATATAAACTGGGAAAGCAAGGCATCCATGCTCTTGCCATGCCATGAGACCTCCACAACCAAGCAACACAGCAAACATCCTGTGCCTATCTGCTCCTGGATGTCAAGTAGCACAGCAAAGCATGAGTTTGCAAACTAGAAACTAGGTAGTCTGCAGCACAGAGTAACCATATGAATCTAGGACATTTTCGGGCATTTTTCAGAGTTGGGTTGAAGTTTGCCTTCTTTTCACATTGGACTAAAACAATCATTTCTCCACTCTGCCAGGAAGAAGAGACTTCAGAAGTAATTCAAGATCTTCAAGGAGTCCTTATAAAACCCTCCGAAAGCTCACAAGGGCGGTTAGAAGTAGAGCTGATTCTTGGCAAGGGCCAGGATCACTCAGGATTACCAAAGAAAACACAAGTTCTGTCACCACAATCTCCAAACTTTGGGTCCAGACCACAAGCTCTGCCCATCTCAGAACCTCTTTTCTGAAGGACAGTTTCACCTTCTGATTCCACTGAAGATCATACGTGTTCCAGCACAATTCATTGCTCAGCTTTCCTTTTTTTAAATATCCTGTTCACTAAATGCAGGGATAAAAAATTCTAAGGAAGTGATCTTCTAGGATTACGATGGCTGCATACCAAGTGCTAAAATCTCTCTCCTGCCACCTCCCCAATGTGATCACACATCCTTTCAAAAGGAATCATATCTCTATGCATCCCTTAAGCACAATATGTCTCACTCCCCTTGTAGACACTCCAGCAAAAAACCTGTCACCATTACTTCATTTCAAGCCTATTCCAAACCCCAACTTAGTCCACAAATGTCCAAGTTATATCCCTTTTAGGCAAGACTGTGCGGCTTATCACTCAAACACGCATCAGAAGATCTGGTTTCCATTCCTGCCTCTAACCAGAATCACATGCAGATAGCTAAGCTTCTACTCTCATCTCATCCCTTCAGGTTTTACAGGACAATGCCTGAGTACATGCACAGTACCTATTGCTATACAGGGGTCCCAGTTCCAGCTGGGGAACGTGCACAGTACAGACATTCTTCAGGGTTGGGTTGAGATACTGGAGCTTTTGGAAACAGTGCATCCTGTGAAATTTGCTGGTAGAATTATGATTTCAGATTGAATTCCCCCAAGCGTATGCTCCAAACAGTAAACTTCACTGACTGCAGTACAAGTTGTTCAAACTCACGTTGGCATTAATGGAAAGGACAACATTATCCTGTTATCATTTTTCCTCCCTAAGCATTCAGAAAATTAAAAGTATAAGTCATATATACTCATATATAGATAGATAGATAAATAGATATACATATGGTAAGCACCTGCCAATGAATGAAACACAAGTATCCCACACTGAAAACAAATCCAGAGCTGTCACAACTTCCACTGCCTCCATGAATTCTGATGGTAAACAGGACATCCCACAGTCAGGATTTGGACCCAGAAGAACTAAGAGCAGGTGAGAGTTGGAATCAACACCTCTGAGGTCATCACAGCCTTAGGAAGATCAAGACAGAAGATAAAACTCAAACCCAACACTGAATTCTATGCCAAAGTTCGAAAACAAAAAAGGAAAAGCATATTATGACTGCCTTTCAGGACTGCCTCAGTACATATCTTTACAAAGTGACTCATCTAGTTACACACACAAAACGATAAACATTTTTTCAGTGCTTCCAGAAGCCAAAGGGAGTCAAAGCAAAGACTCTGCCAAGTTAAACAGCTATTGAGTCAGATGTGAAGGTGGCTGTCACCAGGCTTCAAACACACTTAGCGTCAGTGTTCCCAGCTCCCTGCATGAGTTTTTAAAAAGTAGGCAGTTCTTCCAGTTAGGGCAAATCATTCTCATTGCAGAATTATAACCCACCCTAAAAAAAGAAGTCTTTCACATAAGAAAAATAAATGCTTACAAGCAGAGGCTGAGAGAACTGTAATTGTTTAGCCTCAGGATAGGGAAGGGGAAATCTCACCCATATGAATGAGTAAGTGATGGAAAGGACCACGGAAGATGCAGCCATGCTTCTGTGCTACACAGTGACAGATAGCGAAACACAGGAAATTCTATTTAAAGACAAGGAAAAAAAATCATAAGGCAAAGCTTTTTTGCTGAGAGGCTGTCACACACTGGAACAGCTTCCTTAATAAATTGCATTTCTGTTCCAGAAGAATTATATTCTCATTGTGAGCTGAAACAAAAAAGAATGCGATGTGAAAGCCAGAAATCTGTCTTGGGGAACACAAGAACTTCATGTTGGTTGGGATATAGCAGGGTAACATAACCAAAGCCTGCTCTGTAAAGCCACCTGTTTGACATGCGAGTTCACTGTGGTCAAGTTCAACCCAACAATGATATTCTTACACTGATTTACAGCAGTATAGCTGTAAAATGGCAGGGCCAGATTCCCTAGCATTGCACTCAAGAAAATTTGTCTCAATTCCACAGCACAAAAACAGAATTGGTCGTTAAGGCCGAAAGCAGGGTGTCAGAATTTTCTATCAACAGAAACATTGCTCTTTCCACATAACAGTTTTAAAAAGAAAGGGCTTATAATCACGTAATAAAAAGAGAAGGCGATTTTCACCAGGAAAAACTCCTTCCTTGGACTCCTGCCATAGCACATGCTGTATATTAGGAAATCATTTGAAATATTAGAGTGGTTTATCCTGGATATTTGTATAGACATTGAGCTCAAGACAACTTGCTGGCTATTTGCGCCAAGTTCAGCTCTGCACCAGCTCCCTGGAGAGTCTGCAGGGCTGAGAAGGGGGGGAAGCACAAAGAAAAACTGCTGCTTTGAAGGAAAGAGGGAAAGATAGGGTCAGAGAAAGGACAAAAAGACCAAAGGATCTTCCCTTTCCACAGCAGTCTTCAAAGCTTAAGAGGTCACAGCTTCTAACAAAGCCTCTGGCTTTCTAAGCTAACAAGAGATTTCATCTGAGGCTATCTTCTAACCCTAACCCTTACCCTTGTGAACAGTGGAAGGGATGGGTAAGATTGTCCCCAGCAGTTCAACACCCTCATTTCATTCAAGAGAAAGAACAGCTGTCTTCTACCCCGTTTTCTTGACCAGCTCCCAGGGTGATCAACAAACTGAAACACGGAAAGCCCTGTCTGTCTGAGCATCAGTTAGTGCAAATATTGCATACTACCTCAAATCCAGTTCTGTTGTACGGGTCATGGTGAGCCAAATTCAGACTTGGTACACTGCCAGATCTATGTACAGAATGGATTGGCTTCCCCTAACTCTGCTACACCTATTATGATGTTACTGTCCAGAGTCACACATAATGTAGAAAAGGAAAATACACAGAACGAGTGACCTGCACTGTCAGCATAAAATACACAGCAACAGCACAGCGCTTCATAATAGCAAGGAAAACAGAGAAATATGATACTTTTCTGAACAGGAAGCATTTGTTATAATTATTAATGCAAAGATTGAACGTTATTACCATAATGTAACTCAAGATGCATCTGAACAGAGCCCCCTGAGGGAAACAACTTGATGTATGTTTACAATCAAGCATGCTAGGGAAACAAAAGGACACTTGAACTACAGAGATATATTTATCCACACAGTAGTTATAACAAGGCATAAGAAGAGCATCTACTACATAAATCATCACCTTTCTAGGAACGCAGTCTTCACCCTCAACAGCAGATCAGACAATGTCAATTTATAGTAAGGCCAACTCCTATAAAGAGAGAATAAATAATTAATGGCTGTTACAGATGAGAGTAGTGCTTCAAAGGCACATCAACAGCAGTTATTGTAGGGGGTTACAATCAACTTGAAGCCCCGCAGAACACTTACTCATTTGCTCAAGTATTTATCATTTATTGAACTATTGATATCATCTGCAATCACACTAACAGACTGAGCAAGGTCTAGATCTCGACAGGGATTAGAATGGGGAACTCTCAAGCATAAATACTGGGCCTCCATTCAGGTAGAAGAGCTGGGATATCAAGCTTCATTCTTGCTATACCTTTCCTGATCTGGCTCCATCACTTCCTTGCTCCACATCACACATTCACATTTCCCTACAGACTAGAAGTCTTCTTTCCATTTGAACACTCTTGTGCATTCTGTTCAGGCCACAATCACTGTGTCAAAACATGTCAGCATATTATGATATATCTGAAAAATTAGAAGTGCTAAAAACGTTAGTGAAATACATTTGAATTGGTGAAAAGCAAGCTGCAAAGCTGGAGTGATTTGTTTTGACAATACCCCCACCTGAAACTTTATCTAAGCCCACATCCTCCTGGGAAATGTTTCGATTCTGACAAAAACATGTTTTCCACAGAGATAAAAAAAAAAAAAAACTGTCCGTACCCAAAACATTTGTTTAGCTACTGCATCAAGCAGAGCTGGAACAGGCTCCCATCGCGTGCTTTGAGCTGTTATTGTCACCTACACAGTTTTGCTTGCCATGAACCTAGGGAGACAAGCAATGACCTGAAGGTTCTGGTTCAGCATATTGCTGCCATTTGCCCATTATTTTCCTTTCATGCTCCAGCACATCAATCTCTGTGCTCTCCAGCTGACGTTAACACCTGCGTCTCCTGAAAACTGGTAACTCACAGCTCCCTCAGTGCAAACAAACATGCTCATATCACTTTTCAGAGGAAAACTAACTGCTCTCCAACTCTCTAAAAAGTGCTAAGTCAGAAGAAAATTGAATGTAGTGCACTGATCCAAATTAGCATAGGTACATGACAGCTTGTGTCAGTCTACCTCAATAAAAAGGTTTTCTTCACAACACGGTGAGGGCTTCATCAGGTTTTTAACTCTATTAATAGAGTTCATTAGTTAAAAAGATTCATTTAGTAGGATGAGGGGAATAGCCATAAGTGCTCTCCAGGCTGGAGGAAGTCTGTAGGCACCATGAGCATTAAAACATATTAAGCAGCGCGAGCCCAGGAGCCCTCTGGAGTTCTGAGAGTATTACTTTTAAATTAGAGATGGGAAATTTTCCCTATTGAAGCTGGACAGAAAACAGCTGTGCTCATTAAAAGAGGAGGAACTGCTAAGTAGTTATACAATCAACACTATGTAATTAACAGAGAATTATAATAGTAGATCTAGGACTGTGCTTTAGTTATGTGCAGGCAGAATGCTAACAGCTTTGCAGCCTGCTGCCTTTTATGTTGCTCCTCTTGTTCAGCTGCATTGCACAGGGTGCAGATCCCAAAATGCTGCTGAGCTCCTCTGCCTCATGCTGCAACTGAGACCAGGGTTCTCCATGCCACCATGGTGAGAACTCTGCTCAGAGGGGCTGGCTCTTCCAGCCTGACATCAAACGTGAAAATGTCTGCCCTGCATTTTAAAGGGAGTGTCAGGCAGTTACATAAAGCTACCACCAAGCAATAGAATGAGGAATGAGGAACACATGCTCCCCCCTCAAATTTCTACGTGCTCCTGGCCATAAGAGCACGCTAAGCAATGTGAGAGAAGCCCTGAAGCAGTCCTCTATTTAGATCCAGGGTGACTGTGCTTGCATGGAAAATCTGTCTATTAGCCTGAAAAATCCCATATGCAGGTGAAGACAAGCATCACCTCTGACAACTGAGGGCGATACACACCAGTGCCACAGTGGCCATGGGAGTCAAACCCAACAAGCAAACCAACAAGACCTACTACCTCATGTCATTTCAGATTGGAGTTCTGCAATAGCTGGAGAGCGTCTCACACAAATTCACTCCTTCAGCAGATAGGTTTAGGTATGCCATTATTGCTCAGTGGAAACCTTCAAAGTTTTGGGAGATAAATTGTTGGTAACTCCCAACTACGCACGATGCCCTGCTGCTTCATCCCGCCATCCTCCATCTCCAGCTGCCCCACGGGGCAGAATTTTCCTACTCAACATCAGGCATCCAAAAAGCCAGAAGGAATCCCCGCACACTCTGGTGCTGCACGTTTACCTCTGCAGAACAGAAAATCCTGCACAGGAGAAACACAGCATTTTCAAGTGCAACACATTCAAGCTTTCTGGGATTCAGCATTAGGACTCTATGAGCTTGTGCGCTGCCAAGATGAGCAGAAAATAATACTAATTATAGTTGATGGAATCAAAAGGTACAGCTGCAAGTCCACAAACTGCTGACATAAGAGATCATCAACAATGAACAAGACTACTACTGAATCACTATCAATGCTTTTAAGTCATCCACTGGTGTATATATTTATAAATAAATTTCTCTTTCCCATTATCCCAGCAAGCGAATTCTTTTCTCCGCCTGGATTTGGCACCCATGGGATATATAATCACCAAGTTATTAAATGTTTTGGTCACATTTAAACACAAATCCACTGGAGGCATCTTCCCTGGGTTTCTTAAAACAGGACGGCTTCAATCGCCACTGTACAAAGAGTTCTGGTGGCACATACATTCTCCAGTCCCAGACTTAAGCACTCTCAGAATTGGGAAGTCTCTTGGGCTAATACTGCCTCTTCTCCTCCTCCTCTCCTTCCCGCCTTCTCTACAGAAATGGGAAATTGAGATTTTCAAGCTCATTTATCAAACAGCAAGTAGGTAATAAATCTAATCTCCGAGTCCTTATTTCCCAGTCATCTTTAACCACTAGATGACAGTACTTCCTTAATTAGCAGTTCAATTCCCAAGATTTCTGAGAACTTCCACCTCTTGTTGGCTCCAGTTGGAATTCTGGATGCTCAGGAGCTCCAGGAATCAATTTCTAACTATAAAAGAGACAAAAGTGTTCTATGCATTTAGAGCCATGTTGCAAAGTTTTCTCCCAAAATTTTCCCTTTTCCACTTATGACAAGAAATTGAAGGTCCTAATTCTGCAACAGGACCTGCCATGTTACGTATGGAACCACAGCACAACTCTCAAGTCTTGACCTAACTTTAGCGAATGGGATACAAAAACTGGATGTAGAATCGCTGTTACTCTGTGTGCTTATTTTTAGGGTCTACTCAATAACCAGTGTCAACATTGCCATAAAGCAAGTGCCACAAATGCATTAAAACGCAGTTTTTCAACTGCTTGCGGATGGGTTTAATGATGAGGACTGGACAGACTATTTTAGCTTCCCATATTAAAATAAAATTACGCATTTTATTTTATACTTCAAAAACTTCTTTTTTTCCCCCCTTTTCCTCAAGGCATTTTTTTTTTTTTTTCAATTGCTTCTGGAATAGCACATTATCATTTAACCCCCTTGTTCAGTCTCATTTTCCACTTTCTCTATTTTCACACACAGTTGAACTGACTTAAAGCAAAATGGAATTTATTAAGCCGAAGACAATGTGGGTAATCAACATAATGCAGTGTCTGCTAATCCCTGGTTACTCCATTTTTTTTTTTTTTACTGTTTATTCGACTTTTGGTCTACAATGTTTGGAGCAGAGAATATGGATTTTCTTCACTCAGAAGAGTCATTCAATTAGAAAATGTGTGCAATACTGTGCACGCTGTATGCCCTATGTACCAGCACAGCACTTGATAAGAGGACTATCAATCAAACGCATGCGAAGAGCTCAAATTTTCAAGGCTCTGAATATTCTTTTACCAATCAGTTAAAGCAGCAACTACATGGGTGCTATGTAAGCATACCTAGCACAAGCTTGGTCAGAGGGTTGTAATTATTCATTCCAAGAAGACCACACAAGCTCTTGCTCATATACAGCTGCCTTTGCATAGCAATTTGTTTACACACAAAGACAACCTGCACAGCAAAGGGCTTGCAATTCTGAATTTCCATCTCAAGAACAGCCCACAGTGTGATTTATCACGCACACTTTGCTTCACACCATCCAGCCAACCCACAGCACTGACACCTCAAACACATCAGCAGCATTCTAGGATGCATGGAACCTTTAATATGAGGAACTCTATGGGAAAGATGCACAGGCACTCACAGCACAGTCCTGTTATTTTACTACTTCAAACTTATGCTGCAGTAGCAATTAGCTTTCTACGATCTAAATATTGCAACACAGAGAAGAAAACTGGTAGCAAACAGGCTTGTCTTCCAAGAATAACAAAAATAAAATAAGCACTAACTTAAAAGATACGGATAAGAGCTCAGCATCCCATGCTGTTTTCTTCAGTATATGCGAGCAAAGGTCAGAACAACAAAATTCCATCACACAGCTCAATATTAGCTTTCAGAAACATATGTAAGGCCAAACACGGAACTCCAAGCAAAATCCTCCATGTGACCAATTTCCTCAGGTTAAGGCATTAACTCTCATTTGAACAGGCAGACATCTAACCCAAATTATTACTATTCTGTAGTTGCCCAGATACCAAATTACAAACAACGGATTCAGTCACCTGAATAATTGACAGAAAATTAAGAACAGCTCTTTTACAAAAGCACATCTGACTACAGAAGCCAACTGCTTTCTGTAATGCAGGGTGGTCAGTTTGTACAGGATAAACAAGAAATGAAACTGAAACATTTTACTAAGCGTGTCCTCGTGGAGCTATTTAGTCCTTTGTTAATTTAAGAAACCATATTTCTATTTGTATTTAATTTCATTTCTAACTGACATCCATTAGGCTTTGTTTGGCTCTCCGTTCCAGAGTGTTCTCCATTTAAAAGAATCCAGAGCAATGTAAGTAGCATTAAAAAATAAAGATAACTCCACACATTGTATGCTAAACAACGACGGAATTGAGTGTGCTCTCAGCAAGTTTGCTGATGACACTAAGCTGAGTG